GGAAGCTTAGGTGTAGGAATCACAAGTGCCCAGCTCCATGTCACATGTATGTTCCTTGGTAGATCAATATTTTTTTATTTTTTTCTATTTAGGACTTGTTTCGTGGTTTTGCTTTCTCATATGTGAGTTTGTGATGAAATTGGCTGGTCTGAAAAAAATTCTATCTGGATTGCTATTATACGTTTTTCTTTGATATTACTAATTGTGGAGCGTACACCTTTCTACTAAACCAACCAAAGCACTCCAATAGCATATGCCATCGTTAGGTTTTGTCTTCGCCCTTTAAGAACTGAAGAGCACCTTTACAGTTGGTTTATGTATTCGCTTAGCCAATGCTTACGAGCGACATCTTGGATACTAACCAACTAAATAAACTGAAGAAAAAAGCTCTAAGTAAATAATAATTAATTCCATGTTCAAAGAATCTTTATCGGACCAAAAAAATTCACTCTTAATATCTGCATATAGTAACATTAATTTTCAACTTTTAAATGGTGAAGTCAGATATTTCTTGTCGTACATAAATTTCATATAGACCCAAATGACTAGTATATGTGATGGTTGTCATATTTTTATTTTAGAGGTGCCTGTGCTCCTTGCCCGTTGATGGTGAGAATCTCATGTTCATGTGGGGAGACGCAGTTTGAGGTTAGCAATGCTGTTAATGGTTTACTGTTTTACGAGTTTTAAATTTATTTTTTTTACCTTTGCACATACATGGCTAATCTATCTCCTGAATTATGAATAAAACGGGTTTTTTTCATGTGCTCTACAGTTTGCACGTTTTATTATATTTTCTTGGTCAACAATTTATTAACAAAATATAATGTTATCCAGTGTTGTTGATATGTTTACGTTTTCCATTCAAAAGTTCTGCTAACTAATTCAACTTGTGATCAGGTTCCTTGTGGCATAGAGAATGAACAAAAACCTCCCAGATGTCGGAAAACATGTCCTGTAGCTCCTCTGTGCAGGCACAGATCAAGTTGTAAGGTTGTATAAACGGTCGTCTTATTATATCAAAATTTGATCAGAATTTTTTTCCAAAAAAGTAAATAATGTTTTACGTTTTTTTTCCAGCCACATAAGTGCCATTACGGTGCTTGCCCACCATGTCGCCTGGTTTGTGATGAAGAATACTCATGCGGCCACAAATGCAAATTAAGGTTTGGCTTAAAATACTTGTGTTTTCTTGCAATAATTTCATGGGTTCGCATTTCGCGTCATCACTTGTGTTGTTTATATATGATATATATAGGTGCCATGGTCCTCAACCACCTCCTAATCCCGAATTTACTTTAAAACCGAGAAAGAAGAAATCAAACCAGCCGAGTGAGCCGACTCCTGGTTCCGCTTGTCCTCCTTGTCCGGAACCTGTGCTGAGGTCATGCTTTGGTCATCACATAGGAACAGAGAGAATGGTTGGTTTCCTTAACACAGTAAATATGCTTCTTCTTTTTTCCGTGCATCTGTTTTAATGATAATATGTTCCTCTTTCAGATGGTTTGTTCAAATAGAGCAGAATTTTCTTGCGATAATCTATGTGGAAATCCTCTTCCTTGTGGCAATCATTACTGCACTTATGTATGTCATGCCATGAAAGCTCGTTCCTCAAAATCAGATACATGTGAAGAGTGCAATCTCCCTTGTGAAAAGGTAAACATATTTTTTTAGCATTTAAAGATTAAACTCACAGAAACTTCACTTGAAATGGGACGGCATTTTTTCTTTCTCTCTTATTTGTTGTGATGGTGTATCAGGAGAGAGAGCCTGCATGTCAACATCCATGCCCACTGCCATGTCATCGTGGAGAGTGTCCCCCTTGCAAGACGCTGATTAAGCGTTCGTGTCACTGTGGGTCCATGAAACATGTTTTCGAGTGTAAATATTTTAACTGCCTCTCAGAGAAAGAGCAAATGGCTGTTCGTTCTTGCAAAGGGCCTTGCCATAGGTAATCAATCTCTACATATCTACATTGCAGTTATCTTCATTGGATATTTACATGCTGTAAAAAATGCTAAATTGCTATATGTATTTAATAATGATTTTTTTATATTTGCAGAAAGTTGCCAAATTGTACCCATTTATGCCCAGAGACGTGTCACCCTGGTGCGTGCCCGTTACCTGACAAGTGCTCTAAGAAGGTATGACAGAGAAACCAGTGTTCACGAGTATAAAATTAATTTAAGCAGAGATTATTAAACAAATGATAATTTTGGGTTATTATTGCTTTACTAGGTGACTGTTCGTTGCGGGTGCCAAACCTTAAAGAAAGAATGGCTTTGTCAAGACGTACAAACAGCATATCATAGTTCTGGT